AACCTAGGATCAAGAGATTTTATGTTTCACAAACACTAGAACACTTTGTCACCAAACAAGGGCCAAGAGATGAATTTGTCCTTATATGTTGATGATAGAGTTGTCATCTCGCGAGGATATTTGTGGCTAGTCTCTCAACATCTACCATTTTAAGAGGCTCCAAATAGTTTGGTCTTTAGGCTTGGTGGTGGGCCCAGTTATGGCTATGTCATCCTATCATAATAACAGTGGCCGACCAAATTTACTGGGTCCATTTCTGATAGCAACAGGCCCATCTGGTTAGTAGGATTTAAATTAGGGCCCACTAAATAGAGCTGCTTCATTGACCGCTTGACCAAGTTACTCCAAATTTGACCTCATTGTGACCGGTTTACAATTCAAACCAAGAACAAATTGGGTTAATTACACTAACCAAATAAAATTTTCCATGAGATATACGTAGAAAAGACAAGATAGTTTGGCTAAAAAATAGCATGAAAGTTCTGTAGAAGGTTGAAATTGCCAATGGCTGAAAAATTTCTAATAAGGACGGAGCCCAATTCTAAAATAATCATATCCCAAGGCTGGGAGGGGTGGCAAGCTGGTCGACTCTGAGCCATACGATTTTTGACCGGACTCCTATGATATTGACTCGGTCTGGCTTCATCAAATATTCGGGTCAATTCATTTATTAAACAAATTATCCATATCTGATCAAAGTGATCCATTTATTGGTTTGATAATCAATGTAACTTATTTCAGGTACTTAACATAAATTTCATGGTTAAAGTTTTTATGGTTTTTATTATTCATAGATATTGTACAGTTTAGAAGGTTAGATATCTTCTGGATGTTCTTTGTAAATTTGAATTTTGTGGGTGTTTTTTATAAAATTTAAACTTCCATAATGTTTTCTACAAATATCACTTTTTCAGGGGATTTTTCTAATTTATAAATATTATACTCTTTGTAAGCTTTGAATTTTCAGGTTTTTTAATTTTGAATTCTTAGGGTCCTTTTCATTGTTTTTGAAGCTATTAGGGTGTTATTTGTAAATACCAAAATTTTCATGTTGTTATTTCTAAGTTATAGATTTTGTACGATTTGTAAATTTTGATATTTCTAGCATGTATTTTTGTAAAGTTTGACTTTCTGAGGGTGTGTTTTTCAACGTTAAAATTTTTAGGACGTATACTGCAAATTTTAAAATTCTCATGTTGTTATCTATGGGTCATAGATTTTGTAATTTTTAGGGCGTATACTGCAAATTTTAAAAATTTCAAGTTGTTATCTATGGGTCATAGATTTTGTAATGTTCCTAAGTTTTGATACTTATGCGGCATATTTCTATAAAACTTGACTTTTGGGGGGGTTTTCTTTCATTTTTAAAACTTTCAAGGAGTTTTTTGTAAATTTCAAAAATTTGACGTTGTTGTTTATCACTTATGGATTTTGTAATGTTTGTAAATTTGATGTTTTCGTGGCATGTTTCTGTAAAAGTTGGACTTTTTGAGCTTTTAGGCCATTTTTATGAATTTTAAAATTTTCATGATGTTATTTATAGCTTATAAATCTTATACCTTCTGTAGGTTTTGATATTTTTTGGGTGGGTTTTTGTAAAATTTTCATTTTTTTAGCATGTATTTTGTAATTTTTGAAATATTTAGGTTTTTTGCGAAACTCAAAACTTTTATCTCATTTTTGTAATTTATAAATTATAAAATTTTCACCGTTTGTATGTTTCAAAATTTTGTTTTTTTTTACTAATTTGTGCCTTTTTGCAACTTTTGAACAATCAGGGTGTTTTTTGTGAATTTTAAATTTTTTATGGCATTATTTATAAGTTATAGATTGTGTATTGCTTGTAGGTTTTGATTTTCCTATGGTGTGTTTTTATAAAAGTTGGCATATATAGGATACGTTTTTTACAACTTTTGAAACTATCAAGGTGTTTGATGTAAATTTTAAAATTTTGATAGTGTTATCTATAAGTTATAGTTTTGTGCTGTTTGTATCTTTTGATATATATATATATTGTGTGTTTTTGTAAATTTCAAAATTTTGAGGGTGTATTTTGTATTTTTTGAAAATTTAAGGTGTTTTTTTACAAAGTTTAAAATTTTCATAGTGTAATTTATAATTTATAGATTTTGTAGCGTTTTTTAAGTTTTGATATTTAAAAGGTTTTTTGATAAGTTTTGAACTTTTGAGGATGCTTGTTAATTTAGAACCTCTGTGTGTTTTTCGCAAATTGCAAACTATTCATGGTGTTGTATGTAATTTATGAATTTTATAGTGGTTTGTATGTATTGCTATTTTATGATTGTGTTTTTATAAATTTTAATGTTAAGTGTTGAATGATAAATGTGCTAAAGTTAAACGTTTGGAGGGTTGACGTTTACGACAAGATTAATAAATTTGTTCTTTGGATTGGCCCGTTTATGACCGGACCAATATATAATAATGACTCATACTCATTTATAAAGGGTTGGGTCAGATTGATCTAGCGGGTTGGGTCATAAATTGCCACTGTCCCAATCCCCCGCCATAGATCACAAGAGATTCAAAATTAAGTACCATGAAATTTAGAGTAGGCGAATGTTCGTTTGTGAAGCTGTTTTTCCCCCCTTTTACCTCTAGTCTGGATGATAATTGACACATGCCACCGTTTTGTTTTTTTGAAAACTTCATGCAAATCTTCAAATAGTTCATCTCGATATCCAAAGTTTGACACCAATAAGCAAATCAGAAAACAAGCTGTCGGCATCGACAATAAGGAAACCATAAATGATTCCTTCTCATCCCGTTTCGTCATTGAGGCGTTTGATTCGCATAAAAATGCGTCTCAAAACTCGGCAAATATAACACGAGTTTAACGGCTGCGAAAGTTAAAANAATTTAAAACCAAAAAAAAAAAAAAAAAAAACGAGAGATGCGTCACTCAATCGAATCAGTGGCGTCGAATTTCTATACTTCACTCGGCCCGTGGTCAAATTATAAAAACTCGGCTTGATCTTTTTCTTCTGCACGCGCAATTTGTTCATTGAACCAGCTATATATAATTACGAGAGATGCTCGAGCTCCTTGTACACGAAGCCTCTCCCCCTTTCTCTCCATTATCGGGAGAATAATTAAAATTTGGCCAAGAATCTACACGTGGAGAGGGAAAAGAGAACTTTTTTCCCTAAATAAAGACCCGCAGCACGAACTGATCTATGAATTTTAATACGACACGATCTGCATGGAAAAAGATTCAGGGATTGAAAGTTGGTCGCTGAAAATGGGCCCGATGTTAGGCAGGCTAAGGGTAGTAAAATAATTAATATGAAAAATTTCCAAGGTGATTGTCAGCTCATTATGAAATAGGAGGGGGACACCTCACATGTCCCCCATGTTGGTCTCATATTTTGGGTCTATGTAGCAAAACCCAATTAATAATAAGCATAGTGTACTCAAAGTCTGCCTGCCTAATGTTGGAATCCTCACATTAATAATAAGGATCTGATGGCTTCACTGAGGTGCAACCAAGTGCAAATGATGCTGGATGAGATCACTGAAATGCTGCCAATTGAAGTGGGTGCAATTGATGTTAGGATTCGAAGATAAACCATGATATATAATGACGATCGAGATTCGAGTACCAAGGAATCAAATGAAATGAAGCATGACAATTAGGCCCCGATGAGCGCTGGGAACTACGGTTTCGCCTTGTAATGGCATCTCATCAAGCATCAGATGCTCCTCCGGAGGGCAATTTCTTTTTCCATGCAGTCAAAGCGCGTGAACCTGACGCATCAAAAAAGAAGAAGGAAAAAAAAAACATTATTCGGTTAAAAGGAGGTCAAGAGACCAGTTCATCAATATCTACAGAAAATGATTAAGATCGCTAATTAAATATCGGTGATGACTGTGTTCTTGACGAGACATTAATGATTTTATCCTCCAGCATGCTGCTTCAAATTATGGTCTCGATTATACTAGATTAAAAAAGAGAGTAAAACATCAGAAAATTCCCTGTACATCTTATATGTCCCGGTTACTAGATTGAAAAAAGGGTAAATATCAGAAAACCCCGTGTACATGATATTCTGAAAGTTAACACGGGTTTTCTAATAATCGTCCAAAGTTAAGAGGGGTTTTATAATGATATTTAGTCTTAAAAGGAATTTCTTCCCCTAGGAACCATCCAATTTATAAATAAGAATGAATGTTCCTTAGATTATCAACGTCGTGAATATTGCATCCTAAAACATCAAATTAAGCAATGAAAATATGCAATTAGGAATTAAGTATGAATGAATAAAATAGAGGAATATAAAAGAATCAATCACCAATATCCTTCCCCGATGCGCGATTTCTTCTCCTGCCAGCCAATTTGAAAACGGATTTTCTTTTTAATCTCTCTCCCTTCCTTCTCGCCTTTTCCTGCTTATTAAGATCCTCGTTTTTGTTGGATCCAGCGAGCAGTTTTTGAGGCCTACAATATGCCCAAGCCCATGAAAGTTTCATAATACTGGGCCTTTTCTTTGAAATTGGAATACAGCTTCAACTATTTATGAGCTGTCTACTGGCCTACTATTATCTGCTTAAAAGGCCCAACCACCATTACCTAATGAAATTTCAAATCCATTGCTGCTGAAATTATTCCCACTCGAGGTAATATTCGCAATTTATTTTCGGTGGTACGCGCAACATAATCTTAGCCTTCGGTCAAAGAGAAGGGATATGATGGTGTAACTTCTGGTGAGCAGGGACGGAGCTCGACATTAACTTGGAGGTTTTTTTTTTTTTTTTTTTTTTTTTTTGGTGAGAAGAGGTTTTTTGTATTTCGCTTTCTCGTCTCATTTTTAATGACTTTTGGTATGTTTCGTTTAATCCTTGTTAATGGAAGGGCAGTGGGTTTCTTGAATTAAAAAGAGAGAGCGGGTGAAAAACACAGTTGTTCAGAAATCACTTTCGGCAATGTAAATAAAAGAGTAGAACGTACGTAGTCGCGACAGAATTAATGATGCGGTCAAATATAACTGTGACAATTCATCTTTACTTAAATTAGTGGTGTTACAAGCAAGCACACAAGTGCGGCGATCATTCCTTTTCCTATAAATATTTACTTTTATTAAGCTCCTAGCATAATTTACAGACTCTCTGAAAGTGTGGTCCTTGCTCTCAGGAGAGAAAGCGAGAGAGCAGCCCCACAAAGAAATCACTATTTAATAAACCCTTTTGAGGACAGAATCAATATCAGCCAACACCCTTGCCGGCTTTCTCTTCGCAACCCCCCAAGTATATTCCGTAGGCCCTCCGATTTCAAAACCACCACCACCACCACCGGTCCCCCCCCAATGCACAAAAAATGAACAACAGAGGGATGCATGCACACCCCTCACAACATCCATCTACACCACTTCAGCCACAACCGCAGCACCGGCAACCTCGCGCGCCCTCGCGGCCTCAAATTTCGGCGGAGACCTCAGCCACAACAAGCCCCGTCAACAACAGCCCAGCCACAAAGGCAGCGCCATCAAACATCGAAAACACGGCACCCCAGCTCTTGGCCGATATGTACCCCGTCAGCAACTGGCCCGCATCGCGGCCCCCACGACACCGGTCCGTCTATAAATCGCCGTCACCGTCGCCAGCGCGCCTTTGAATTTCCATTCAAAGAGCTGTGGGTCCCCAGATCGGCAGAGACTGCGGTTGTGATCAGAGCATAGCCGGCCATTGACGAACATTTCCCGGCTGGGACGGAACATCAGCGCCGACGTCCAGTTGCAGGACGAGGCCGCCGTAGGAGCGGTAGAGGAAGAGGGAGCGGGATTGCGAGGTACATGAAGCTTGCCGGCCCTGGCATCCCGTCCGCGGGCCCCGAGCGCGGTCGCCGAGATCAGTTGGCCGCCGAGGATGCCGCCGACTACGCCGCCCACGTCGAACAGGGTCGAGAGGTTGCCAGCCGTCGAATCTGATAAGTACTCGCCATCTATTGCTGCAAAATTCAGTGACAAAAAAAAAGAATTTAGAACAAGGGTGGCCGTCAGATTGTGAGACAAATGTCTGCAAATTGAGAAATAGATGAATTGACTAGCGAAGGTGCTTGTGGTTAGGGGATATTCAATTGGCGAACGGGCTAACGGAATGTTGTTTGCGGATGAAAATGGATAAAGAGCACTGCACTCTCATATCCACATCAGGGAAGCAAAATGCCCAGTGCATCAGAAATTTATAATCCAACCACAACCAAAAGTTTCAATGTATGCTAGTTCGTGTGAACCAGAACGACCCGAGATAATGTATGTGGATGAAACTGGGTACAAAAAGCACCGTACTTTTAAGTCCACATCAAGGAAGAAAAACGCCATGTGCAACAGAGATTTGTAACTCAATTATAACCTAGAGTTTTAATGTAGGCGGATGGAAATGAATAAAAAAGCAACGCACTTTGTGTTTACACCAAGGAAGCAAAAATGGCTAACGCAGCAGATACTTATAACTCAATCGTAGCCAAGAGTTTCAGCGTAGTATATCCATTAGCGTGATCCAGATTCCTTTGCTGAATTGAAGGACGGAGGGGGGAAAAAAAGGATCCATACGTTGGAACTGGGAAAATGAGAGATTATGCCGAACAATATTAGAAATGAATCTAAGTTCACCAAGATCTTGAGATTCAATATAACCGTGATTGATACAGTAATGTCACTCCAGCAGCGAACAATTTGTTTTAACAGAGGTTTCTTAAGAGTATTGTAGGCAATGATAGCACCAAAATGAATGAAAACTATGAGCAGTAAAAAGCTGCAATTCTGTTCCATGAGGAAACGTGTGGAAACTTTAAACCTCTTGTGATTTCAAAAGAAAAATGCAATAAGCTCCAATGATGGTGCATTATCCTATAAGTATCCAAGAACAATGAATTTATAGAAAAACAAAACGTAGGGACTCAGCAATACCTATGTGGCTGATGTAGAACGGAAGCCAGAAGAGAAATGTATACGCCACCAATTTCGAGAAAAACAGACACAGAGCAAACGGAGCAACCCCTGGAATCCTCCACGCCTCAATAAAGCCGACAGCTTTATCCTCCTTCCCTCCCTCTGCCTCCAAAAGGGGCGCCATTGGCCCATCCTTCTCAAAGGACTTCGGAGCCTCATCTTCCTCCTCCTGAATCCCTATCGTCTCAGGGCTAACAGGCAAGAACAAGAACACCATCAACCCAAAGAAAGCAATCAGAAGCCCCGGAACAGCAAAAGACCACCCCCACCCATATCTCAACAATCCCGCCGCGATCAAAGAACCAGCGATATTGCCGACTGAAGTATGTGCATTCCAAATCCCCATAATCAGTCCCCTCTTACTCTTTCCGAACCAATTTCCAACAACTGCCACTACTGAAGGCCATCCTGTCGACTGAAACATACCCGCCAACATTTGAACCGCCAAGAAGTAGTAGAAACTATGTACATTTAGCCAGTAACCGACCCCAAATAGGGCAGTGAACAAACCCGAACCCACCATTCCGATTGTGAGAAGGATTCTTAGATTAACCCGATCGCCTAAATGCCCAGCAAAATACATCCCAAAGGAGTATACTGCAAGAAAAGCCACATCTATTTGCCCCAACATTGCAGTTCCACCTGAACGATCAAATGGAGCCCAACCCGCCGTTAATCCCGTATTTTGCTCTTCAATGCTGCTCGACCCGAGAAAATAAGATCTTGACCAGTGCGTGAATCCCAATTGTGTTGTTTTTGGATCGAGGACGCTCTTGACGATGCTCGTGGTTTTTCTAGTGGCGTGATAGCTAGCATAAGCGAAGAATGTCAACACTAGAACCGCGGCTTGGTATCCTCTGAAGGAGATGGGAGCCCCCCTGGTGTACTCTATAAATCGAACACCCGGGGGTTTATTGTTTTTGGTTTCACTTCTCATTTTGTCTGAGGAATCCATTGATGAACAATGAAAATTTTTCTTTTCTGGTGATAAGAGGGTGTGGGTTATTGAGGAAGAAGACTCCTCGCTCCTTTATGAGAAGATTGGTATCCTCTGAAATGAGAAAGGAATTAAGTAGTCAGGAAATGAAAACATTTCGGCACATTGGATTCCTAAAATCATGATTCAAACCTCCTCCATGTGATAAATGTTCTTTGCTCTATTCATAAGGAAAGCATGTGCCATCATATTCATAATTCATGTGTGTTTTAATTTGACAGAGGAACTTGTTTTATAAAAGAAATACAAGCATCATTAACCAGATAAAAAAACTAGATGCATGGATTTATCTGAGATGGAGAACTAGCTGACAATTTAAGGTAACTACCAAAATTACCAACTGTCATAAACCCCATAAACCCCTCTGTAATTAATGGAATAAAAAATAAAACTGACTTAACACGATTCAGAAGTGGTTATACTGTCAAATTCAACAAGAAACTGAACCAACAAGAAAGACAAAGTAAAGTTTCAAAAAAAAAGGGGTTAAAAAAAGCTAATTTTTGACCTGCACAATCCACAATTAGGTACCAAATTAAGAATCCATCTTCCTCTCACAACCAAATAAATGGCTAAAAAAGCTTTAATGCTGAGCAAAAAATTATAAAAAAAAAAGGATTTTGACAGCATCAGGTGATTTATTGCGGAGTTGCAGAAGAATCCCACTAATCAAAATAGCTAATTAGATGCGAGATTACATCAATTAAGGCCAATCTATCAATATAACCATGATCTTATCAATGAAAAAATTATCAATAAAAACAAAAAAAATTCACCAATCCCATCAGACATTATCAATTGGACCCGGGATTCAAAATAAATTAAGATTGCGGATGAAGATCAAAGACTGTAATAAAACGTCGCATTACCTTAGAAAAGATGGCGGTCTTCTCTTCTCTTCTTTGTTTCTCTTTCTTTCTTCTACGCCTCGTTTTCCTCAGAAGACTATTTTTTTTTTCTTTTTAGCGTCGCCTTCTTTTAATTTTGCTGTTTCCTCCCTTTGAGAAGCGAGGGTCCTAAAGAAACGGAGGATTGGGAGAATTTGTAGAGACTCCCCCTCGCCCACCAACATTTACGCTTCTCCCCAAAATTACGTCAACACCCTTGCACTTGAATATTGTTTTTCATGGGGTCCATCGAACCTGAGGAGTACTTGTGGGCTTGGGCTTGTGGTAGCATTGTGGTTTTAGGCAAGCGGGGAGGGTAACTTCGGAAATAAGCAGTGTGATCGGATCCAAGTACTCGATCCCTACTGAAAAAGAATATTCCAAGCGAATAATGCTTCGAGCTCCGGATATTCCCGCCACAGCTGGACCCGCGATCTGACGTGGCGATGAAACCGGTGGGCGCGCAGCCGACGCTGATGTCACGGTTCTCAACCGCCCACTCACGCGCGCGTTCACGGAAATAAAAACACAAAACTCGACGGCCGTGAAAATCATAATATATATTGAGGTTTGAATAATAATAAAGTTTTAAACGTGCTTCATTGGCAATTTCGGTAGTTAGTTCATGCTGAATTTTGTTGATGGTATATGTAAGGATAGCCATTTCCATTGATATATATTTTAATAGAATATTCTCCGCAAAGTGGCACATAGCTCGTGGAGTACGAATCCCAAAGAAGCGTTCAGCATTATACGGGACATTTTGATTTGAGCATGCCTACTGCACAAGGGATGAATTTATAAGAGGAACATTACTCTAGCTCACGGCAATTTTTGTTTTTCTAGTTTTTAAAAAACCTCCTCTTCGTACGATCCTTTTTAAGGCCACGTAAGAATACGGTGTGGGTCCCGCTAAAGTGGTGTCGCTGCCCGCGAGGGGGGCGGGCAGCAAGTAGAAAAATAGTAGAGGCGCATCCCCAACCACACATCCTCTCTCACTTGCTACAGTACACTGGGCCCCGCATGAGATTTTAAATTTTTAAAATCCGATGTGAGACCCGATGTACTGTAGTAAATAAGAGAGGATGTGTGGTTAGAATTGTGGTTGGGGGTGTACCCCTAGTGCCACCCAGCAAGTATGGCATTCTGCCGTACAGAGAATGCCGGCTCACGTGGGGCCCATGTTATGGCCCTGGCCTCACAAATTCATCCCGCGGCACGAATCAGCGGCACCCAAAATTCCCACACTGTGGTCGGCCCCGCATCGCTGGTGAAGCTTTTGAGAGGTGTCGTGAGGAACTGGTGGGCGAAGACATTGGTCATTTCCGAGGGGCGTGGTGGGCTTGCCCGGTATTGACCACGGATTTGGCCATTTTACAATTAAGCGCTTGCAACCGTTGCATATTTTTCGCAGAAGGCATCCCAGGAAATCTTCAAATTATAATAAACGAAGGCTCCTTCCCCTTTCACTGCGGTCGTGCTCTCGTGCTTGTCAAATCTAAGGTCATTACTTGCACGCCTTCGTTCAAACATGGCAGTCTTTTAATTATGCAACAAGATGATGTACGTAGA